GAAGTTTGTCTATTTTATAAAATTGAAATTTTGAGAGCAACTCAAATGCCAAATAAAAGTAAAACCAAAAACAAATAGATGAAAATATTGAAATTTTCATTTATTTGAGACTGAAAATGAGAATGTATTTGTGAGATTGGAAATTTGAAAACATTTTTGTAATGTTAGCAAACTTCAAAAATGTTCAGGCTGCCTCTCAGCGGTTTTACCTTCAGATTTTGTATCATGGATACACCTCGAGATATCACTAACGAGTTTTCCTTTGTTTATTTTTACTTAAAGTCCTTAAATATGTATCTTGATTTCTGTAGAATACGTATTCATTTTTTTAACCTTTTTAAAAAAAGGGAGGACAGTCGGATCTACGTAACCAGAACGACCTGAATGAGCATTAAAGTCGGTTGTATTTTTTGCTCAAAATTACTTGTTATTATTCAGATACAGTTTCGCTACTATTTAGAGATTTCTCGACATACTTGTTCACATTACTGTTATTTATTATTTTTCTTATTAGTCGTTTATATGTTTAGGACTTACTGTGGGTGCTTTAAGATTCATGTTGTAAATATGTATGTACATATAAAAAACAATTGCGATATTTTATTTTATTTTAAATTATGAATTTTATTCGTGCAATTATTTATGTTTAATAGTTTTGAGATTTTTTGGTTCTGTTGTATTCTTTTATTGCATATCTTTAACTCTTTTACTTTAAGTTATAATGTTGAAGATAAGCCTTCTGCCTTTGTCAAGCACTTTAGCTAGGTGCGAGAAATTTAGCATATGCGCGTAAGAGCATAGGGTAGGTATAGGGCTGTGCTGCCGCGATTCTCCAACATCTTGTCAAAGGAGAAAATATATTGGTGGCGGAATCCATCGTAGTCCGATTTTTCATGAAATCTACAAAAAAGCGATCACTGAATCTGAACTGCTATGAACGTGTGTATTCAAAGCAAGCACTGCGTTCGTAGCTACTCGAATTTAATAGCATTTTCGTAGATTTCACGGAAAATCGGACTACGATGGATTCTATGACAGCCTTGATTAGTTCGTGCCAATATAGCAACTCAGTTACCAGCTTTCAGTTGCTAGTTGCCATCGGTAATACCATTTCAGCCACTGGCCAACCAACTGAAGTTCGGTTGTCCTCCGTAATCGACCCATAAAATCGGAATCGAATATGCATGCACGTTCTGCAGAACGGTAAATATTTTGTAAATGTGTGCTCTGTCCGCTAACGAATTCCAGCCATGTGTGAAATATCGTATGTGAAGCCTCCGTCTAACTTAACGATTGTCAAAGGCACGCCAGAAGATGTTTCATCATATGTTTTCGACCATCGTCTTCTTCGAGTAAGTTCATCGATTCCAAAAACTTTACAACCTCTATGTGCCAGCATCCCTTGGTGTTTTTGCCAATGACATGGCACTATTGCTCTGTTAATAACCAAATTTAGCCGCAGTTGCATTCACACGTGATATAATAGCATTTGTTCAGCTATCGAAATCATTACACCGACGGCGGTGGGCAGTACTGCTGGAACATATTTACCACAGCGGTGGTTGTGGCGTTTTGTTCTGCAACAATAGCCTGCAATGATGACATGTCATATAATGTCGATGAACAAAGATATAAAATTGAAAATGACTAACCTTATTCCCGGCCGATTGGGAGACCACCCTTGGTCACGACCAGAACGCATTTACCAAGAGGAAAAACCGCAGGGATTGCAGTAGTTCTTGCAATCACCGTTGATGATGCTGTGCTTGTAATTAATAGTCTGAAAAGGCAGAAAATTGCATTAATCAAATGTTAAACACATCAAATAAATAAATTTCAATAATTTGTTTACCATTTCAAAAACCGAATTACCAAGAAATAGAAACTCACCGCTTTGCGATACAGAAATAATAACCAATAGGGGTGCATTTTCTTGGTATACAACAGAAGCGCTCAGAGCAATCTGATCCACAATATTATTTTCTGAAAAATAAGACTTGAAAAGAGTTTTTAAACATGATTATCACATTATCTAATTAGCGCACACTATCGAGTTTATTTCTAGTAGAATATAATTGTATTATCTCAGACTTTTTTTCAATGTTTTCTAATATTCGTTCTTTTGGAATGCAAAAGCAACCATGCGCTCAATTTCTTGTGGGGAAATTTGGACCCCATCAAGGACTTTCACCACGAAACAGCTACAAAAACAAAAACCTTTTCTACTGGTATACTGTGGTTTTCATTTCGCTCGAAAATAAGCAAACGGCAGCACTTGTCTGACCGTGCGACACACTGCCGGGAGTCAGCTCAATGGGCTCTGTCGCACGGTCTGTAATTATCACGATATTTGGATCGAGATGCTACATGTTCAATATTTATCGCGTCAGTATTTGCATAATTTTTGTGCTGAACGCTTATTATGACGCAAGAAAATATTTTTATTCTGTATGAATAATTTACAGATAATGCATTCTACAATTATTTTAAAATTGTCAATGTTAATTAAAATTTTTTCACTTAATTTTGAAAGGTTTTAAGCACCGTTAGCGAAGGCATAGTGAATACGTTTTTGATGTTCGCATTATGAGAGTACAAGATGTACTGACGAAATGTATGGATCACGTTTTGAAAGTGCTACACGTTCAATATTTATTGACGGTATTGCGATCCGCGATCCAGAATTCAACATTTTTAAAAATTTGGCGATATGGATCGCGATTTATTTATTTATTTGCTAGAGTCTTGCGACTAAAAGTACAGATAGATATTTTTGATATATAACAAAGTATGCGTATATGTAAGTTTAAATTTTCAATTACAAAGCTGTTTATGTTTCTAAAACTATCAAATAACCTATATAAATTTATATTGTCTAACTAGTTGGGTGGGTGGCGAGGCCTAGTCTCCAGTCTACGTTTACATATGTACTATGTGCAGCGGGCGGAAAGACCTTGTTTCCGCTCCGCGTTGCTCACGACTTGATAGTCACGGTCAGAAAGGCCGAGTTTCCGATCCATGTTCGCGCCGTCATTAATATGCACACCCTGACGCTGGATTCCGTGATGTGAGGCAGGCGGAAAGGCCTAGTTTCCGCTCCGCGTTATGGGCGAGCTGTTGGGCATAGTCGGAAAGACCGAGTTTCCGATCCATACTCACAGAGTTTTTCGTATGCTAGATCATTTGCTGCTTGGTTGGATGGAAATATCATATCTGTGATCATCTCCTGCGCAGGTGTATCGTAATGCAGCGTTTTTGCTGTATTTAAAATGCAACATTTAGCACTTTCGAACATATGTTTTCGAAGAGCGTTCATGCTATCGCATTTAGCAAATGTACATTTACGCGAGTTCGAAATCGTATGCTTTTGACAAACAGCCTTGTTCCAGTCGCTTATTCAGATCCGTATCTATTACGATTAATTCTCACGGAAAAGATAGTGTCCAAAAATCCCTACTGAAAAGGAAAAAATAAATTCTAAACCGAAAATTCAATACAAAAACTTGAATTATTTTAACCATAACCAAACATTTGTTTGTGTATATATTCATTTGTCGGTGCTTTCAATTATAATTTCCACACTTAATTAGGAAACAAAACAAACAGAGTTGATCACAAATTAATCCAGATTTCTATCAGCATCATATCGATGTTTAATTTGCGTAACTTTTCTTTATCCAAATAATGTAAAATAATAAATGATATCTCGATCGGCGATCACTGAAACGCAGCTAGCGACTGTATACTCGAAAAAGCAATGTTGCCACTTCTTATCATTAAACCATGTTCGAATCGTGGAAATTTTGGAAGATCACAGGGTTGCTTTTAGCATTTAGATTCTAAATGCAAAAATGGAGTTGCATTTAGTTGCATTTAGGTGACGAATTTTGTATATATAAATGTACATTTAGAGTAGCATTTAGAGCTAAATGCGCTAAATGTGCTTTTACGCGTAAGCAAAAACAGCCCATAACCAGGGTTCGGATATGCCTCATTTTAGCGCCTCGCTCGCTCGTTAGTTTGCTCCGAGCTAGCGCAACTCACGAGCAACAAGCGAGGCTGTTTGCAAACGATCACTCGTTAAGTAAGAGCGCACGCGCAAGAGTAGAGCAGCAAGCAAACGAGGGCCTCATTAGCTCTGCCCTCGCGAGGGCGTCGTTGCGAGCGAGGCACTCATTGCAGCAGCAGACGAGCGAGGCGAGTAAACGAGCGAGGCAGATGAGGCGAGTAAACGAGCGAGGCAAATGAGGCAAGCAGATTAGACAGGCAAACGCGTTGTTTGGTCGGCAAAAATGTATGGGATAACAATTGTATATAAAATTGTGTAAAATATGTATATACATACATATGTATATACACATATGTTTGTATATACTTATGTATATATTCTCATGCACAGAAGAGTAGATTCGTGCTATTTGGACCAGTTTTATCTACTAGGTAGGCACATATGTGCATACATATCTATGTAGGTATAATGTTTTTAATGTTCAATAATTTCTTATAAAATTTCAACTTATACACTTAGGTCTCTTTTTATGCGGTTCTTTTTTATGCGGATTTGAATTTATGCGGTTTTTCAAACACTTTTTTCGCTGTAGCGATTTTGCTTTTTTGAGAGCTTTTATTACTTTTTTTCAATATGTAAGGGGCAATGCTTCTGATAAATAATTTGTCTTTGTATTCTTACATACAAGTAATTACTAAGTAATTTGGCTAAGAAACTATGTTACATATGTATAAATGAGAATATAATATTTATAAAAATCATTATTTTGTCTTTCATTTCATAAATGAGTAGGACATCAGCATTTTCAAAAGAATATTCCTGGTTAAGCCCCCATACATATGCATGTAGGATAATACAAACTACTATTTGATAATTAAGGCTGGTCCCCATAGAACTTTCGCGTTGACTTTGTAGTTGGCGTTGGTTTGACAGAACGCAAGTTAAAAGTATGCGTTCTACAATGAAGCTTGGCAGAGACTACTTTGGCCACTAAATTAACATATTAACGAGAGATAAATTAATATTTCATATCAATAACTGCATGAAAACTTATATTCTTGCCTTCATTTCATTAAAAGGAAAAAACATTTCATTTAATTTTATTTATTTGCAACAGCTGGCGACCGACGCAGCGATCTTTCTGCTTTGTGTTGGCCTTAGCGTTGCCAAATTTTGGATATGTGGACGGCTGCTTTGAAATTCGACGCCAACGCAACGCCAAAGTTTTATGCGAACCGGTCTCTATTCTTTGTTTACGCAAACTTTCCCATCTCTACATATCCATATATACATGCATACATATGTACATATGTCCTTGAACAACAGGCCACAAATAAATTTTTTCAACAAGGACTATATTTCATTCAGGTATACAGCATAACTGCTACAAGTAGCAAACTATTTTGGGGGTGTTAACAAGTGCTTACTTGTTTTCTGTTTCTGCGGCACAAACGATTATAATATCTTCGTTACTTACTTTTCTCTGTAAAGACAAAATACATGCATATGTACATACATACATAAATGCATATATACATAAATACGTACATACAAACATATATAAATATGCATGTTATGTGTGTACACATGTAGTAATATAACTCTAAAAAATAATTTATTCCATAATCTATGCTTATGTATGTAATAAATTTTATTTGTTCTTTTAAATGCTGTCCTAATATAATACTTTACATATATATATGCATATATACATACAATTATTAACATACTTTCGTACATAATCTATTGACATACATTCCCACATTTTTATGCACAAAAATGCATGTGTTGTATAGTACACTCGGAGCGCTCGCTCGTCGCTCACTCGTCTTTCCTAGCAGAGTGAGTATGCAGACATCTACTCGCCTCGCACTGCGAGCGAGGCAACACACAACAGCCTCGCTCGTTTAATAGGAGCGCGAGCAAACAAGCAGCGCTCGCTCGTTTGGCGAGCGAGCCAAACTTCTCATGCCTCGCCTCATTGCTGCTAGGAGTACGAGCTGCGAGCGCCTCGTTGTCTGCGAGGCATTGAGTAGGAGTTTGCTCGCTCGCTCGCTCGAACTCCGAGTTTTTGCCCACCCTGCCCATAACGCTTATTTAATATGAAGCTCATAGCTCTATTTTGCATTTTTTGCAATTTCTCGATATCGATCCATCAAAACTGCATGCTCCACCGTCAATAAATATCATGACGCAATAATACAAGGTGTTATCGGTTGGCAACTTCTCGCTCTAATTCCGCCATATTGACTGCCTTAGCTGAAGCAGTGCTGCTTCTTTAACAATTCTTTGCCTAATAATATAGTTGAATTTTTTTTTTACTTCTTGTCAGTATACACATTTTGTCTTCCCAAACAGGTATTATATCTTATTTTATTTCATTTCATTGCGAATATACTATAAAAAAGAAAATTTTGTTTAGAAGAAAATATGAAATTTTATATTCTCCCCCCAAATGGGGATTCATTTCTTCCCGTTTTTCTTCTTATTCTACTGAGCTAAGGCAGTGTCAAATCGAGCTGTCAAAACTGATACAACCTTTTATTATTGCATCAAGAATAAATATCGCGATACTTGGATCACGTCAATAAATACTGACCGTGTGACAGGGCCCAATAGCTTCGCTTACCATGATCCAACTACACAAGATCTGACAACATGCAGCAAAAGAAAAAAGTAATTTTCTGGCTGACGTTTGTAATTTCGGCGCCATGTTATTTTCTGTGAAAAGTAAACAAAGAATATGAAGACGAAGCATAAAGAAAAAATGCAAGCAATGTTGTGCACATGTTTGTGCTAACCAATTTGTTATTTTTGTACGTGTTTTTGCATCCAATCACCGCGCACTTTATTTTAATTACATTTGCACAAAAAATCACTGAAATAAACCACCGACAAAATACACATAAAGAAAGAAGCAAAACAGAAATAGCAAACTTCAAAATTACGAACGTCACACACTTTTTTCTCAATTGCTATTACAAATGGCTGCTTCTCAACCACAGTATAGACAGTAACCAACCTTATTGGGTTGTTGTTGTAGTAGTCGTTGTTGTTGTAGTTATATTCACTCCTGAGGAAGGCACGGGGTTGTGTGCTGCTATTTAATGGCCTTCCTCAGACTTTTTCTTAGATTTCAGGGTTGTGTGCTGTATTATTATTAGATAAATAAATTTAAGCATTTGTCAAATCGTGATTTTATTAAAAGAAAATTATCAATGGTGTTGAAAAACCAAACAAACACTCGTGCGAAAGCTCTATTTTTGTGTATTGTTAAAATTTATACATGGCGTACTTATTCTTTTGTGGACTTTATGTTACTTGAGAATTTAGACAACGTGCGAGCTGCCAGGTTCTGTTATAAATATAATTAACACAAGCTTTTCCGAGTGGTTGCCTTTCAATAAAAAGAATAAACAAATATTCGCAAATAAATTGGATTTATTTTATAACTGACAACTAATCTACGCTTTTTGTTCTTTTCTCTATTTTAATTTTGACTCCTTATTACCGCCAACAACTTTATGTGTATACATATTTACAAGCTGTCAAAATTTTGCGTAGTCCCACGAGCTAGGTAAAAACTATGGCATTCGTAATCACAACGAGAAATCTCAAAATCTTTGTTTGGCCTTTCCAAATTTTCTCTTTTTAATCAGTTGGCAAAGGCCCTCAGTGGCAGCGCTCCGAGCGTTGAGATAGTAATTTTATGTCAATTAGTAGAAAAGTTCCATGTTTAAACAACTTTTTATTATGGCGAGAAAATTTTACATTTCTGCTGTGCCAATTCGTAACTTTTTACTGTTGGAAATTTTTGACAGTTGCTCTGGTTCAAAAGAAGTTGAGCAATTAAAATCAGAAATTATACAAAAAAGACTTGTCTTTACTGACATTTATTCTTCTAGAACTAAAAGCCATGAATTTATGAGACGCCTTAGTAATAAAATCAAACCATCAGGCCGGGTTGAAAATTTTCATTCACCTCATAGTTAACAAAAATTTACAATCCGTAGTACTTTTCTATCAATTCGCAAATGCGTTTAATTTAAATCGTTTAGAAAATGCGTCATTTATGTATACCATTTTATGTGGAATTATTCAATAAATTTCGTTTTACACTATACTTTTTGAAACTATTTGGAGTTAATTATTTTTTGTTTCTTAAAAGCAACCCTGCATGCCGGGAAGGCGTGTGTACCAATAATTTCATCCCTAGCATATTCATCCCCGAGGAAGGCAGTCGCCAAATTCACCGAAGGTTGTTTACTGGTTATATTTGGGGTGTTCACAGTTCGTTCCAAATTGTGTCGGAAAATGCAGACGTCTACATTTTGAGACACTTTTAGCATCAAACTGTGAGCACCCCTTTCTAGCAGTCGTCGCAAAATCGTCTCAAAACTTTGCTGGTGTTGCCAGACATTTCTTGTTTGCGTGCATTGTTTATGTCGCCTTTCGATTTTGTTTCTGAAAAATTGTAATTATTTAACTTAATTACCAATTCGTAATATTTGTTATTCCTTTTCCTTGATTTGTTTCTTTTCATCAAAAATTGCGCTCAAATTAAATGCAAATACGGAAAACGTGCCCAATAAATAAAAAAAATGTGATTAGTATTGCCATAATGCAACCCTGCTGCGAGGTTGCAAAATGTAGACGCGTAAAAAGCATACCTTTGAGTGTGACAAAATGTAGACGGCGTCGTTTTCCAATTTTGTATGGGAAACAACAACACCACAGATTTTACGGTTAGAAAACGTCTTAAAATGTAGACGTCTACCAAGGCGTATTTAACAAGGTGGTGTTGGCCGTATATAAGTAAAAAATTACACTAACAAATTATACGCTGATGTCCATACTGTCATTGGTATGAGTTACAACAAACACATCATTTTGACGTAATGGCCTCCACGGCGAAAAACTCAGCTGTCGCCCCAACACCACCTTGTTTAATACACCTTGACGTCTACATTTTGAGACACTATTTGGAACGAACTGTGAACACCCCAATTGTGTTCTCAACCGGTCAGATCTGTTCTAATTGGTTCATGCTGAGTTACCCATCTTTAAGGCCCTGTCTCCACAGTAAAACAGTGATGATGTGATTACCATGTCACAAAATATATTTCCAATGGAGACCGCTTATTTCTCATGGGCTGCAATATATGTCAGCGCTTATTGCTTGACATCTATTGCAGGCAATTCGATAGTTTGACAACCATATTTTCATTTGAAAGAAAGCGTGCTGGTTGTAACATCGATGAAATTTTGATATTAAATCAAAATAAATCTCTGTTCCCTATTGGATTATTTATGATTACGTTTCAGGAAATCATGCAGCAAGTTTTTTTAAGATTTAAATGTTTTTAAACACCGAAATTGAGAGAATGTTGTCTGGTGGCGTCATGCGGCAATTGCTTATTTCAAGACATCAAAGTGCCCACACACAAAACTTGCAATTATATTGGTCGTCAAAATGGCCATCGGTGTTTGCCTGTGGAGTTCTGCGGTAATCGGGGTTTTTTTTAATGGTGACCTTTTAAAGAAGAAGACAAGAAAGTTTTTTCCACAGTATAGACAGTAACCAACCTTTTTGAGTTGTTGTTGTAGCAGTCGTTGTTGTAGTAATATTCACTCCTGAGGAAGGCACGGGGTTGCGTGCTGATATTTAATTGCCTTCCTCAGACTTTTTGTTAGATTTCAGGGTTGTGTGCTGCATTATTATTAGATAAATAAATTTAAGTATTTGACAAATCGTGATTTTATTAAAAGAAAATTATAAATGGTGTTGAAAAACCAAACAAACGCTCATGCGAAAGCTCTATTTTTGTGTGTTGTTAAAATTTATACATGGCGTATTGATGGTAATACAAGCAATGTATTCTTTTGTGGATTTTATGTTACTTGAGAATTTAGACAACGTGCGAGCTGCCAGGTTTTGTTATCAATATAATTAACACAAGCTTTTCCGCTTGGTTGCCTTTCAATAAATAGAATAAACAAATATTCGCAAATAAATTAGATTTATTTTATAACTGACAACTAACGTACGCCTTTTGTTCTTTTCTCCATTTTGATTTTTACTCTTTATTACCGCCAACAACTTTATGTGTATACATATTTACAAGCTGTCAAAATTTTGCGTAGTTCCATGAGCTAGGTAAAAACTATGGTATTCGTATTCACAACGAAAAATCTCAAAATTTTTGTTTGGTCTTTCCAAATTTTCTCTTTTTTATCAGTGGCAGCGCTCCGAGCGTTGAGATAGTAATTTCATGTCAATTAGTCCCTGTGCCAATTGATAGAAAATAGAAAATTTTGAAGGATCAAAGTAAAAATTTGACACTTCTCGTGGTGAATACGAACGTCAAAATTTTACCTAGCTCATGGGGCTAGGTAAAATTTTGACAGCTTATAACCATGTATACACATAATATTGCTTGGCGGTAATAAGGAGTGAACATGAAAATTAAAGCTGAAACAGCATATAAAAAGCGTACGTTACTTGCAAATTATAAAATAAATATAAATTTTAAGAATTTCAGCAACACACAAAAATAAAGCTTTCGCACGAGCTATTGTTTGGTTTTTCAACTGTCAAAATTTTACTCTGCAATTTTACTACAGCAAAATTCAATTTATTTGTACACCATAGCAAATTTTTCCACCCCGTCTCACCACGGAGAAAAAAGTTACCGATTGGCACAGGCCCTTAGTAGAAAAGTTCCATGTTGAAAAAACTTTTTATTATGGCGAGTAAAATTTACATTTCTGCTGTGCCAATTCGTAACTTTTTATTGCTGGAAATTTTTGACAGTTGCTCTGGTGCAAAAGAAGTTGAGCAATTAAAATCAGATATTATACAAAAAAGACTTGTCTTAACTGAAATTTATTCTTCTAGAACTAAAAGCAATGCATTTATTAGACGCCTTAGTAATAAAATTAGTACAAAAAAACTCTTCAAAACCGTCAGACTGGGTTGAAAATTTTCATTCACCTCATAGTTAACAAAAATTTACCATCCGTAGTACTTTTCTATCAATTCGCAAATGCCGTTTGCACAAAAAAGGTTATGAAATGCGTTTTATTTAAGTCGTTTAGAAAATGAGTCATGAATGTGGAATTATTCAATAAATTTCGTTTTACACTATACTTTTTGAAACTATTTGGAGTTAATTATTTTTTGTTTCTTAAAAGCAACCCTGCGTGGTTGGAAGGCGAGTGGGTTATATTGTGGTTTTTTCTGTTGCGACTAGTACGAAGGAAATCTGTTTTGTTGAAAATATAAATTATGCATGCGGTCACCGCGAATATGAAGGTATTTGCTTTATAGGGATATTTAATATTGTGTAACTAGTTTCGATATATAAATAAAATAAATAGCCACTTTTCGCTGGCAGGTCAAAAATATTGTTAACGCAATTTGCTGATAAATATGTTAAAAATATTTTATTTAGAAGAAACTGTGTTTGTTATCTCTTTGCTAAGTGCTGTTTACTTCTGCTGCGACTTATGTTAATGCTGGATGTGTTTTCTCTTGCGGAATGTTTCTACGTGCCGGGAGTTGCGCCCGTTGAGTTTTCGACGGGACAAAAAATCGATGTGAAGGCGGTAAAAATGACAAGTAGTCGGACCCAATTGCCTTACCAGTATTATTCCCTTCAATTTTGTTTGCCGAAAAACGGCACTTTAATATACAAATCGGAAAATTTGGGAGAAGTTTTACGTGGGGATCGAATTGTAAATACGCCTTATGAAGTGCGTATGGCTGAAAATATTAACTGCAAGTTGCTATGCAATAAGAAGGATCAACCTATGAATTGGGATAAATATCAGTCTGCAATAGTTGCCGAGCGAATAGAGCACGAATATTTCGTTCATTTGTGAGTTCAATATAACTTAGACAACTTAAATAAAAAAAAAAATCCAAGCTATTTATTTCAGACTTGTGGACAATTTACCAGTTGCGACTAGAATAGTAAATGTTAATAATCCTAATAATCCCAATGAAGTAACTTATGAACACGGCTACCGACTAGGACAAGTTGAAGGTGACAATATTTATATAAACAATCATCTGAAGTTTATTCTTTCATATCACATGCATGCGAAGTGAGTTTTCAACCTGATATTTAAATTCTGCATATGATTACTAACTAACGTCTTATATAGAAACAAATACCGTGTGGTCGGTTTCGAGGTGGAAACTGCTTCAGTCAACTACAAAGAAATCAAGTTTGAAGGGGATTCTTGCAACTTTCCAGACAATTCAAGGCCCCAATTGGTTACAAACAAAATTTTGCTTTAATTAAAACGTATTTATATTTCAACATTTTAGGTGAACCCTATTGCAAGCACCCAGCTATATTTTACCTATTCCGTCGAATGGAAGGAATCTAAAGTAAGCTGGGCTTCCCGATGGGATACGTATCTGGGTATGAGGGACGTGCAAATTCATTGGTTTAGCATCATAAACTCGCTTGTGGTTGTATTTTTCCTTTCCGGTATATAGATCGATTTTTGTCTTTTAATTTTTGTAAAAAAATATCGTTGTAGGCATATTAACTATGATCATGATACGAACACTTCGTCGAGATATCGCACGTTACAACACAGATGACAATATTGAGGACACATTGGAAGAAACAGGATGGAAGCTAGTACATGGTGATGTTTTTCGTCCTCCCAAAAACACCCGTCTATTTTCTGCAGTTATTGGAAGCGGAATACAAATATTTTTTATGGCGCTAATAACAATATGTAAATATATTTCAAAGACGACTATTAGTTTTTAAAGGTTACCCGATCCTTATCCATCCGAAGTGAAAATTCCAGGGTTCAAAATTTTTTTCGTGTATGAGCACTGAAATATCAACATTTATGATATTTCTCATAAGTGAGATATCAAAAACTTAAGTTTTTTTTCACAAACGTAGGTATAGCAAAAAATTTCTAGCTTTGATCACACATAAATGTGCGAAGTTAAACCAAGGAATATTAAATAAGGTAGAAGTGATTTTGACATTTCTCTCTTTTGAACTCTGATTATAGTGCCAAATCATGGTACAATAATTACAGGTGTTGTCTTCCCAGAGAGTTTTACTTCACATCGAAATTCGTGCTCCCTTATTTTCATTTTGATGCAGTTCAATGTTGATTCTTTTACTTTTATTTGGCTTTGCTTTTTGTTTTCGCTCAATTTAATTTTTATAATTTTACAAAACAAAAGACAAAACGTTTGAAATGAAGTGAGTTATACAAATCTTGAATGTATTTACTAAGTAAATGTTTTTTTTTGGCTTCTGCAAATTAAATAAGTCCACTACAAGAAGGTTTGTTAAAAACAAATACGTGTGCATATATGATATATGGGGTAAGGAAATACCCCTTTTCCCTAGCAGTAAACTTTTTATTGTCGGCAACAATGATGTTTTTCAAATAAGGCAGATCGGAGTATGCACTCTCTGGAAAGACGATACCTGTAATTATTGTACCATGGTGTCAAATGATGAATAACTTTTTAAGTAGGCATTTTCTATGTTTCATTAAAAATTCAATTGCGTGCTACGAGATAGCATGATACAAAAAACAAGGTAGTTCCCTTGTCACTTTTCCGTCGGCATATTAACAACCTGACAATTAAGCAGATTGTGACATTTCGTGCTACCATACCCAAAATCTAAAATACTTAAAATTTTCTTATTAATTTTTTGTCGATTTAAAAATCTTTGTTCTTAAGCATAGTATTTTATTCCTATTTCACGTGAAAAGCTGTTAAATTGCATATAAAACTTCTTTCTGTGAAACAAGTGTGAAATTCGACAACATTTCCTCAGCAAAGTACTATTCTGTTCACGCTGTGAAAAAACTTGCAACATTTTTGCAAAATGAAGCTAGCAACACAATTTTCATGACATTTTTAAATACACATGTACATTTTAAATTGTGTGAAAGCTGACAGTTTATAGAATTCAGTAGCGGCGAAAACAATGGGGGGTTAAGTGGTTAAACCTTACCCAAGCCGATCGTAAATCTTGCGACGCAATTTCAGCTTATGCCTGTCGGTCTTGACAAGAATGTAATCCCTCAAGGTTTAGCTTAACATGGTTCTAGGGATACACCCTGTGATGATGTTACTTTCCAGAAGGTTTCGCGCCCGTTTTTCTGTACATATTTCCATTGGAAAAGTGCCTCATCTCAGTATGCTAGGTAAATGCTTCCAGAGGTATCTATGCATCACCAGAATTTTAGTTTATATGGCTTATACCGCGAGCTCTCGTAGCTGGCTACGAGATCGTTTTCATATACCCCCATTTTTCACAGGTTTGGGATTGATTTCATTTACCTCTTTTCCAAGTTCTACGGTGGCACGCTGCATTTTCCAACAAACCCATATTTTTTCACGAGCTTGAGATTGACTTCATATACATACATATATCCATACCAAGTTCCAGAACTCTACCATAAATACTTCCAGAGATATGCACTATGAAAAATTCGATTTGTATGGGAGGTTCCACACCCCCTTTAGATAACGGTTTTGTTTTAGCCTATAACCATTCTTGGAAGATTTGTGTCCGAAATTTCAAAAAAATCGACATAGCCGGTATGGGCATTGTGACTCCTCAAAGGAAATGAACTGGCCCCTATTATGAGTTGCATTCGATTTTCGACTGTGGTCGAAAGT